GGGGAGGGGAGAGGGGAAAGGCCACCAGGGTGCGAGCTGGCCTGTCCTGGGCTCTTGGATAGAGGCGGCCAGGGAGTGCTAAATAGCTGGATTCAAATCTTCAGATACTTTCCAGCTGTGTGACCCTGGCCAAGTCACTTTACCCTGTCTGCTGCCTCTGTTTCTGTAGAATGGGGATAACAGCACCTCCCTCCCAGGGTGGTTTGAGTACAAAACAAATAATATCTGTAAAAGTGTCGTACAAACATTGAAGCACTTAAAAAAAAAGTTACATCCTCATTCTACTGATAAAGAAACTGAGGCACAAAGTCTTCCACATTATTTGAATTTTAGCAGAATTTTACACCACGAACCCAATTATCCTTTTGAATGCTTTTACTCGAAGCCATTAAAAATAATTAAACGAGAAGGCTTTCCCCCTCCCCTTCTTCTTCAGAGGAGTGGGGCACCAGGGCTCTGGCACGCTATATACAGAGTCAAACTTTTTCCATATGTCAGTCAGTGTTACTAACAGGTTTCGCCCTCTTTTTCTGTCTTTTGTTTGTTATAAGAATAAACTCTGGGAGGATGAAGGGTAAGGGGAGAGCTACATTAGGAATGCGTACGATACAAAAAACAAGACTTACTATATCAAGCGTTCAAAAGAAGGGCAAACTGTTACCAACCAGACGGCTAGTGCTCAAGATCACCAATCACGAGGGAAACGTGAATCACAATAATTCGTGAAGTTTCACCTTAAACCCAGAAAATCTGGCAGAGAGGACCAGAGATGGGAAAAGGCAGATTGGAGAGGCTGCTGAAAGATGGGCCACTAACACAGTCATCTCCACCCCCACCCACGTCTTCCGCCTTCCCTGAAGAAACAGGGGCCCGCAGCGAGGCTCCGCTTCTCCTCCCCCCTCCCTTCGAGGTCTCCCCAATATCTCCTGATGGAGAGGGGCCCCTCCTCCTCCTCCCAGCCAGCCCAGCCTGGTGCACACAGCCCAGCCTGCCCCCCTTTGCTCCCCACCTTTCTTCTCCTACCAACAGAAGCTTCCCTGATCCCTACAATCTACTCCAGCCTCTCACCCATCCTTAAGAAACCCCTCCCTTGATCTCACCATTCACTTCTCCCTGATTTCCACACTTCACTGCCACCTGGCTTCTAAGCCCTTCCTTCAGCTGCCCCTGCCCTCTCCAATGTGACAAATGAAAGGGTCATTTCTCACCCTCTCCCTTCTGGACCCACAGGTCACTCACTGGCCAAACTCTTTTGTCTTCTCAATGTCCCTGTGGCCCACCTTCCTGGGCACCCAGGCTCATGACAGAAGAGATCCAATCTTGTCATTTCTACCTTTGTGACCTGTCCTGGACACTGCCAGGCCCCATCACCTCTTACCTGGATTATTGCAATGACTGTGAGTGTGTGTGTGTGTGGGGGGGGGGTTACCTGCCTCCAGCTCTCCCACTCCCACTAGCCTCCACTCACCTGCAAGGCGATACCCTAAAACACAGGTCCAGGCCTCCCCTACTCATGACACCACAGTGTATCCCTATTATTGCTAAGATCAGCAGGGAGTCATCTGGGTGGCTTTTAAAGCCCCTTCCTGCCTTTCCTGCCCTCAGACACTCGAGTCTCCCTCCACAAAGTCACTCTGACACATCTCCTCAGGCCTGCAATGCTCACCTCCTCCTGACTGCCCTGACCTCCTGCAGGACTGGTCTCAAATCCTACTTTCTGCAAGAGGCCTTTCCCAGGCGCCCCCAGCCGGCATTAGGGCCTTTCCTCCAAAATGACTTTCCATCCACTACACACACCTAGCTTATATGCACATAGTTATCTGCATACTGTATTGTATTTGGGGTTTTCTTGGCAGAGATCTTGGAGTGGTCTGTCATTTACTTCTCCAACTCCTCAGAAGAGGAAACTGAGGCAAACTGAGCAAAGTGACTTGCCCAAGGTCATCCAGCTACTAAGTGCCCGAGGCCACATCTGAACTTATGAAGAGGAATCTTCCTGACTTCAGGCCCTTCACTCTATCCGCTGGGCCACCAAACTGTCTCTAGGACCGACTTAAGTGTGTGTTGGGTCTAATCCGGAAAACAATTGATACTAATGGGAACCGTCTTCACAGAGGGAATACTACAGTAGTTCAGGAAAATGGTAACTCAAGTGGATTGAAGCACTTTTTAAACTTTATTTTCCTTGGGTTTCTTGGGTGTGTTTTCTTTTGCAACTTGGCTAATACGGAAATATGTCTTGCATGACTTCACATGTATAATCGATTATCATGTTGCTTGCCTTCTCAAGGGGTGGGGGAAGGGAGGGAAACAGAATTTGGAACTCAAAAAAACTTTTTTAATGAATGTTAAAAAGAGTTTACATGTAATTGTGAAATATTTAATGAAAAAAACTTTTTTTAAAAAAAAAAAGACTAGTAACTCAGGTGTCCACATCCTCTGACCCAGGGACACTCACTTCTGATAACATAAACCTGAGGAAATCAAAGACAGAAAGACATTTCCTTCTGCAGGCCAAGTCCACAAACGCACAAAACTGGAAATCAAGGAGATGTTCATTGACTGGAGAATGACTAAATAAAGTGTGAGTGTGAATGGAATGGAATATCACAGCACCCTGAAAAGCAGCAAATGAGATGAATTCAGAGACCCACAGAACCATCTCAGACGACCTAGGAGTTTACACCAGACACCCAAGGGCCTAGAGAGAACAATAAATGGAAACTGATCCCTTGTATGATTTCAGGCTCAGTTTGGAAACCGAAGAGGACACGAGTAATGTGCCTCTGTCCTGCCACCGGGAGACTTCGGCCTGTGGGTGTGGAAGTTTGGGCCTGCAATCCACGCCTTGGTTGATTTGGGTAAGCTGGGAATGCTCACTGAGAATACATATTCAGAAATGATAGTAACATAAAAAACAAGGCTTCAGCCTAAAAAAAGATGGACAAAAGTCATTACAGTGGCCCCTTATCTGTGTCACAGGGCTGGTGTTCTTAATTCTGCCACAAACGCCTCTACTTCTCATCCCTGTGGCAACTCTCCCTTAACTGGGGGTGCAGGGAGGGGGAGATAACCTGAAGAATCCGTGGATGAAGCTAAGTTTTTGGCAAAGGTTTCAATATGTTTTACAATTAATGCACTTTTGGGGGCATTGAGGCCACTGATTTCATCAGGGTGGAGGATTCCCAGTATGGAAAACTCCTTCTACAACTCAGCCTTTTGAGATTAGGCACCCAAGGGACCTTAGAGGTCATCCCCTCCAACCCTTCCATTTTATAGACACCACCACTGAGGTCTAAAGGGATGGAATACCTTGTACAAAGTAGTATTAAAAGTAAGATTTCCAGGGCCATGAAGCTAGCACAGGCCAGAGGCAGAATTTTAACCCAGGTCCTCTGATAATCTTTAAAAAGTGGCCAGGGGTTACAGAGGGGTCACACAACTGAACTAGTAAGAGACAGGCCTTCCTCCCAGTTGGTCCTTTTATAATTTTAAAAAGTAGTCAGGCCATCTGGAGGTTAAGTGAATCGCCCAAGGTCATGCCCCCAGCCAGAGTTAGAGACAAGATTTAAATCTAGGTCTGGCGCACTAGGAGGTCGAGGGTCACACAGCCTGCCCCAGTTGGGCATGAGGCCAGGACCTCACCCCTGCGTGGCAAGCCTAGGGGAGCGCCTCTGGGGCTGGTGGCCAGCGCGGGGCCGGGGGGACCCTCAGATGCAGGCCCTGCAGACTCTGCCTGACTCGGAATAGCCTCAAACCCAAAGCCCGACCTCCGGGGAAAACGCCCCCGTGCCCAAATCCCGCTGCATTTTTCCTGCACACCCTGGTTCCGTGATTTCCTACTTCTATCCCTGCAACAACAAATCCATCCACGAGGACTTACTAAGGGCCCGCCACGTGCCAGTCCCTGCCAGTCCCCCCGGGATACAAAGGCACCGGCGGGAGCGGAAGCAGCGGCGGCCGGGGCCGCCCGGCTTCGCCTCCTGCAGGGCCCCCGGTCGGGCCCGGGTTCCGACCAGGGTCACCTGCCTGGCAGGACCTGGGCCCCGGGGGCGCCTCCTGGGCCCGAGGACCGACTCTGGAGTGCCGGCAGCGCGGATGCCCTTGTGGTCCCGGCTCCCCCCACGTGCACACACTCACACCTGTGCAGCCTCCCAATGTCACACCTGCCGCAGGTGACTGGCCGCCTCTCGGCGGGAGGGGGAGGCCCTGCACGCCCGCAGCTCCCCGGTGCCCAGGGAGCAGGGACGGGGCTGGGCGGCGGGTGGGGGAGGGGACTTGGCCATGACTTTGGAGGCGGCGGGGAGCTGGGGCGGCCCTGACTTTGGCGGCGGGATGGGGGGAGGGGTGTCGGCCGTGACTTTGGCGGCGGCGGGTGGGGGAGGGGAGGGCAGGGCTCGGCTCTCCGAGTTAAAGGGCTGCTGGCCCGGGCCCACGCGCCCCGCTCCACGCAGGCGGCCGGCCTAGTCTCTCCCCGGGCAGGCCACGGGCCGCGCCCCCCGCGGGGTGCCCCGGCCGGGCAAGGGCGGCGGCGGGCCTGCGTGCACGCGTGCATGCCAGCTCTCCTGCAAACAGGCGTGCATGCACGCGTGCAGGCGCGGGGGCCGGGGCACGCGTGGCGCCCTCCCGCCCCGTCCTTCCTCCTCGTCCTCCTTCTCCTCCTCTCCCCCCCAGCCACGCCTAGCAACGGGCGCTGACAGGACGCAGCGGCGGCGGCGGCCCCGGGGGTGGGGGTGGAGGAGGAGGAAGCGGAATGGCCGCCGCCCCCGCCCCGCCCTCCCTCCTTCCCCGCGGCGGCGGCGGCGGCGGCGGCGGCGGCCGAGCCCTGACAGCTCGGGCCGGGCCGGGCCCGGCCCGGGCGGGGCGGGGCGGAAGCGGCCCCGGCCCCGCAGAGCCCCCCGCAGACCCCCCGCGGCGTCCCGCGCCCCTCCCCCTCCTTCCCCCCCGCAGCGGTGGGCGCCCCTCCCCCTCCCCCCGGGCGGCGGGGGCGGCGGCGGTACCGATGTGGTTGTCCTCGATGTGCTCGATGAGGTCGGCCAGGCTCGGGAAGTGCAGCCCGCAGCCCCCGAAGCGGCAGGTATTGGAGAAGAAGGAGGCGGCCGCGATGCCGGTCATGGTGTTACATGGGGAGCCCCCCTGGCGTCAGCTCCGCGAGTGCCGGCGACGCCGAGAGCGGGCGGGCCGAGGGAGGGAGGGGGAGGGGAGGGGAGGGAGCGCGCCCCCCCGCCGAGGGGCAGGGCCCGGGGAGCCGGGGATGCAGCGCGAGCCCGCGAGGACCAGGAGCAGCGGGAGGAGGCTGCGGCGGCAGCGGAGGGAGGGAGGGAGGGAGGGAGCGGCCGGGGGAGGGCCTGGGCTGGGCTGGGGGGGCGGGGGAAGGGGGGAGCGAGGAGGCAGCCGCAGCTGGGAGGGGGAGGGACGGAGGGAGCAAGCGAGCGGAGCGGGCGGCCCTGCCACAGCTGTCCTGCGGCCCGCGCCCGGTCCGGCGGGCAGCCCCCTCACCTGGGCAGCCCCGGGCCGGCGTGCATGTGCATGTGCATGTGTGTGCGCGCGTGTGCCTGTGCATGCATGCACTCGGGGTTATTTAATAGTCACGCTGCCGTGCCCAGGGCCCGGGGCGCTTCCCTAGCACCTGTTGGCATGTCTGTCTCGGGCACACTGAAGTGCACAGGGGACCCAGGAAAGGTAATTGTGTTCACCATCCTCTTTAAGGCTTTAAAAAAAAAAGGGCAAAATTCACCAGAGACTCCTCCTCACTAATTGATTTTAATGAAGGCTTTTTTTTTTGCCTCTAGGCTTAAAAAAAAGTCTTATCTTTATTTAAATGTTCAAAAAAAGAGAACTCTCTGATTGTCGTGTGAGTTCTTCCAGTGCCTTGCAAAAGTAACCGTTGTTGTCACCGCTCTTTCCAGGAAACCAGAACCAGTCAGCTTCATGGCCCCAAGGTTATCTTGTACAGGAGAGATGCAAAGTGCCACCTTTGGGGGGGTCCTTTAACTAGGCCGAGGGGTGCAGCAGTGTGGGGAGATTTCGAGTGGTTTTTGGACTTGGATGGAGGGGAAGAATTACAAATTTATTTTCACTGACCTCTGAAATTAAGTATTTCCTTCAAATATCTAATATATACCTATATACACATATACATATACAGGTATGCATATGTATATATGTGCGTATATACACATACATAATCTATATCTACCACCTCTATATACACATATACATATATACACACATGCATACATACATACATACATACATATGTGTATATATATAATTTTCACCAAACTGCCGAAGGGATTCGTGACTGGAAGTCAAGGGCCCCCTCCTAATGGATAGAAGACCACCCCTGAAGTCAGACACCCACTGGGTTCCAGCCCTGCCTTCCTGCACATCCTAGTAGGGTGACCCTGGCCAAGTCTCAGCCTGGAGCATCACCGGGAAACTCACACAGACTGGCCCCTCATCTGTAACTTACAATGTATCCAAGTGGAGGAGAGTTCCCCACCCGGTTAAATCCTATCCAACCCCTCCCCTGCTCCTCACAACACCCTAGTCATAGGGAAAGTACCTTGTAAACCTGGACCCAGAATGGGGAGTTTGCAATCTATGTGTGAGAGGCTGGGAGCCTTCTTGTCATCCCCATTAAATAGATTGGAAAACTGAGGGTCACAGAGGTCAAAGGCCTTCCTTGATCTCTCTTATCCCCAACAACTGCTCTTCCCATGAGTGCTATGGCACCTCTGTCTCTATTGCTCTGAGTTCTTTTATTAATCTGCTTCTCACAATGGGGCAGCCCTGCCTGGAGCAAGGAGGCAGGAGAGTGGTTATTGAATGTTTATAATCAGGTGCCCCAAAGCCTGACCCTCACCAGGGACGATGGGTTCCCCACCCGAAGGACCGCAACCATCATATTGACAAATGAAGCTCCAGACATTTTCCTTCTACTGAGAAGCAAAGAGTGCTTTCTCTGGTTTCCCCTCCAAGAACTGTGTTCTCTTTGCACCTGGTAGCCTGTGGGTCTTCCTTGAAGGCACTGCGCTTGAGTGACCCTGGGGAGTTTTCTAGACTATGGTCAATCAAAAAGGATTTAAGCTCCTGGTGGCAGGCAGTGGGGATACCAAGGTAGAAGTGGGGGGAGGGGTGGTGCCACATGTGCATATGGGATAACGCTAAAGTGCTTTGCAAACTTAAAATGTACTAAGAAGTGCTAGCTATTATACATAAAATACATACAGATTGGAGGTGATCCTTAAAAGTTCAGAATAGGTACAAATGGCAATTTTGTGCTACCTTGTTAATTTAAATTTGTAATTTTAAAAAGCTAACAAGTCTACACTTTCATGTACAATCTGCTTTTTTGTTCTTTGCAAATTGAAGTGTTTCTTAAGTTTATAATAAAATAGAAAAAAAGAACTTAGTACCCACTTGGGAAGGAGGGAGGAAAATCAGTTTTTAAAAAAAAAACTTGGTTTTTAACCTGAGATGCAGATACAGAGAATTGGTTGTTTGCTTTAGATGGGTACCCTTCTCTAAGGAAATTTCCATCTGGGCCTGGACTGTGATTTCACATGGTACAGAGGACTCCTGGTGTGGAGCAGACAGCTACTTTTTTACTTAGTGTTTCAGAGAATTGCTTAGGGCTGTCTCAAAGAGTGACCTTCCCAGTGTCTCACAGCCCCAGCTAGACCGGACCAGAGGCTCCAAGGCTACCCATCAGTGATGCCAAACTATTTCTCAAATCTCCCAATCAATATTGCTAATTAAGTACACTGAGTTCCCTCCCCTGATCTAGGATCCTCCCTCAAGCAACTCTGTGGAGCTGGCTGAGGGGCATGGCTGAGGATTTAAGTGTCTCCCCCCCAAAAGTGTTAATGTTACACAAGGTGATTGGAGCTGAGAAGATGCCTTAGCTGGGTGGAGCTGAGGGCAGATGCCAAGACAGCCTCCTAGGGCCAAGTGAGGGGTGGGAGCTGGGACCAGGGCAGGACTGATACTGAGCCAAGAGCCAGGACTGGAGGAGAGAGAGAGAGGGAGCCAGGGCCAGGCTAGGTTTCTAAAGAGCAGGAGCTTGGACAGGGAACTAGAATTTTTGGCTCTGGGAAGGTCCATGGAGCTGCCCAGGCTGGGGACTGCTTTCAGGCCAGCATATGTGAATCTGGCAGGGCCAAGCCAAGGCTGAGCCTTTGGCCAAAACAGGGCCTCTCCTGCCAGATCAGCTCCCACTATCCTCCTCGCCCTACTATCTGAGCAGATACAGGAGCACCTACATGCTCTGGGGAAAGAGGGCACTCTAAAAACAGGTCAGAGGACCATAGCTCTACTTGTGGGAGGGCCTTTAGAGGTCATCTGCCCAACCCTATCCCTTGTCCTTTTACAGATGAGCAAGCCAAAGCCCAGAGAGATTAAAGTGATTTGCCCATTGCTGAACTGGCAAGTCAGAGCTAAGATTCGAACTCAGGACTTGTGACTCTAAATTTGGAATTTTTTTCCCTGCTGAAGCACATTGCATTCTATAGAGGAGTTAGTCCTGCAGGACATATTTGACTAAAGGGAGAGAGGGTGGAGAGTATCTGAAATTCATGAGGCATGAGGAATTCAAAATAGAGGGTTTGGGAAACCTGCCCAAGGGGAGATGGGAGAGGGGACAGGGCCTGTGTAATTCACCCTGCTCACTTAGTGCCCCCTAGTGAAGTTCCCCTAGGTCACGCTCAGCATCCCAGTCAAGTGTGGACTTCTCCATGCCTGTGCCTTGCAGTGTATTCCGGCTGCTTTCTGTCATCCATCACTAGGACACTACAAAGTGCCCCAAAAGTCTTGCAGTTCTAGGCTTTCGCGGCTTACAACTGCACTAAGACTTTTTGGGACACCATATAAGCAGAATTGAGTGTGAATTCTTCTGATTCTGCACAGAATTTTGATTCTTCAATCTGAATGGATTCCCATAGATGTGTTTATATTCCTCCTGCTTCTCAGCATTAATTGTATCCTAGTGTTGTATTACAATGACATGCCACAGTTTACACTTTGGGGAGCAGCCAGGTGGTGTCAGGAGGACTTGAGTTCAAATCCAGCCCCAAACACTAGCAGCGTCTCCCTGGGTAAGTCACTAAAACCTCTGTCTCCCTCAATTTCCCCATCTGTAAAATGGGGGTGATTACACTTATGCCCACCTGACAGGATTGTTCTGAGGAAATCAACGTAGAAATGGGCGTTGTTGTTATATTCCCAGTGCGGAATTATTGGGTCGGAGAGGATACACACTTTTGTGACCTTTGGAGTATACTTGCAAATTGGTCTCTGAAATGACCCCGCCAATGTGTAATCCCACCACCACAGTAGTTCATAGCAAGGCTAGAATCCAGTACTAAGGCTGACTGTCCACTATCTTATAGAAAGATAGATAGATAGGTGAATAGATGATAGATAGATGGATGGATGGATGGATGGATGGATGGATGGATGGATGGATGGATGGATAGATGAATAGATGGATGGATAGATGGATGGATAGATGGATGGATGATAAATAGATCTGATAGATATAATAGATGATTGATAGATAAGAGAGAGAGAGAACACAAGGGAGTCTGTCACTGAAGACGAGTGTCACCACTTGGGTGGGTGTGAAATCTATCTCTCGGAAGACTTTCTGCCTCCTTTCTGTGACCTCTCAGTGCCCTGGGCGACTCCCTGAGACTATAAATTGCAGAGCCGTTTGCCGATGTGCAGGACCAATGAGATGACAGATTCAGCTCCCTCTCCCCCATGTATTTCTCTGATTCTAATTAACTGAGTTTTCTTTATTCCTGGGTAGCTAGTGTGCTGTGGGGACCGGCACTAGTCAGACTTGCCCATAAGGCAGCTACTACCCCCTCCCCTAAGGGTCTAAAAATAACCCTGAGGAGTTGGAGGTCACTTTCTAGAGCTGTAGCTCAAGAGCCCCCATCGGTGCACTCCCTTAATGCATTATCACTTGATATCTATTGTCAGGCAGACATTGTCAGCTTTTAATTATACTACAGTGGTATAGTTATCACAACAGCTACAAAACGCTCCTTCCAGATGGCTTCGCAGCCTCTTCTGCCAGCACGTACAAAGTCCATGTAGCCTAGAGAGCACAGGTGGGCACCTTGTAGCTCCTGGTCAGCGGAGGCTCTTTTCTCCCTTTCATGGGATAGCTCATGAAGTTCCTCCTTAGCTTTTTGGCTGGCCTCGAAGTGGCCTTTCCTCAGGGTCTTTTTGTCCTGACTCCCCATGTACACCCTATGTACACCTGTCATCACTGCTGCTACCCC